ATGCCACTAGGCATCTTTAAAATTAGAGAGAATATAGCAGGTAGGCAAGGGTGTGGAGAATACTCTTTATCCCAGTAACTTCATTCTTAGTTTCATAGCCAGAAGAAACAGATACATGTGTTCAAGAAGACATGCTCTAGAATGTTCATAGCAGCTTTATTCATAACATCCAAAATCAAAAACAGTACAAATACCTATTCACAGAATGAATAAATTGCAGTATATTTTTACAGCATAATAGTCTACAACAGTATGAACATGCAACAATAGAGATGAATTGCACATGATGTTGAATCAAAAAGCCAGACACAAAAAACTACACATTATATCATTTGTTTGCAGTTCAATCAGGCAGAAACAATCTATGGTGTCAGGATAGTATGTTCCTGGGATGGTGGTATAGTGATGAGAAGAGGGCATGCATGCATGGGGCTATAATGCTGGTGATTTTACAGTTCTTGACTTCTAGCTATTGTGTGTATTCAGTGTGAGAAAAGTTAACAGCTACACATGATTTGTGCACTTTTCTATGTTAATTATACAATAAAAAGTTTACCAAAAGGAAACGCAAAGTGAGATACCACTACATACTCATTAAAAAACCTAAAATTAAGAGGACTAACAATATCAAGTGTTGGCAAGGATGTGGACAATTGAAAATTTCATTTACAGTCAGTAAGAATACATATTAGTATAACTTTGGGAAAAGTGTTTTGCAGTATCTACTAAAGCTAAATAGACACATATTATATGACCCCCAAATTCCACCCAATTATATAGCCTACAGAAATGTGTACATATGTGTTCTCCAAAGATAGGCTTAGGAATGTTCATAACAGTACCATCTCAAGCTGAAAATAATTCAAATGTCCTTCAGTGCTGCTGGAGCCTATTGAGATTGATTATAGCCCAGAATCGTATAAGTTAATGGGGAACGGCAGCCAGCATATTCCAGCCTCTATTTTCCCACTTCTCAGACAATTCTGGAAAGCATCACAATGTTGTCTCAATAACACACCTTTATATTGGCTTTTCCTTAAATAACTCTCCCCACTTCATTACTCCTGTCTCCCAGGATCACTCCCTCAATAAACTACTGCATCCAAGTGTTTTCTTGGGGAAGCCCAAACTTCCACAATACTACTCCATCCACACATTCTTCAAAAACAGACAAAACCTGTCTAATGGTGCCAGAAGTCAGAATAGTGGTGTGATGATTGGAGTGGGCATGAAGGTTTCTGGGGTACTGGTATCATTCCATATCCTGATCAGGGTGGTATTTAAACAGGCATGTTCACTTTACCAACAGTCAAGCTATATGCTTAAAATGTATGCACCTTATAGTGTGTGTGTGTGTATATATACACTTTAATTTTAAAAATTAAAGAATGCAGGTGTTGAAGAATAGGAGAGCTGCTTACTAAGGTGAGAGTGGGCCATGTAAGAAAAACTGGACTTTATTGAAAGACAGGTTAATTGCAATGGGTACATCCATCTTTCTGGATAATGTCCTTTCTCTCTTTCTCAGCATCAGACGATTAAGGGACTTTTTAGTGCCTAATATTGGAAGAGGACTGTGAAATGGTGGAAGCAAAAGCACTGAAGTTCACCTGTTAGGAAAGCACCTCCTTGAGACAGGCATTACAACATTCTTCCAGGTGTGCTGTGAAGTCAGTTCTTCAGCCTTGCTTGGCATTCCTGCTACCTGTTTCTAAGACTGCCTTACACTAGGCTAACTCCTTCACTTCTTCCTTTCTTCATTCATACATCAAACATGTCTTTTTGTGTCAGATACTGTTAAGCACTTGGGATATATTGGTGAGCATTAATAGATGTGGTTCCTGCTTTTATTGTTTCAACTCTAAAACTTATTAATCAAATAATCATACAAATTGTATAATCAGTGCTACAGATTCCTGGTTCTGAGAGCCTACTGGTCTACTTAGGAAAGGTAGGGAGGATTCCTGGAGTGACACCTGAGCTAAATTCAAAGGATGAACAGAAGGTAACTGGACAAACGAGTAAAGGTGGAGGGAGAAGAGCATGGGGAGTCGGGGGGACAAAGAGAAGTTCCATATGGTTGAAAAAGACAAGACCAGAAGCATATGGTAGCTGGACAGACAGGCAAGGTTAGACCATTGATGCTTTTGAACTGTGGTGCTGGAGAAGACTCTTGAGAGTCCCTTGGACAGCAAGGTGATCAAACCAGTCAATCCTAAAGGAAATCAGTCCAGAATATTCAGTGGAAGGACTGATGCTGAAGCTTCAATACTCTGGCCCCCTGATGTGAAGAACTGGCTCACTGGGAAAGACCCTGACTCTGGGAAAGACTGAAGACAGAAGGGGATGACAGATGATGAGACGGTTGGATGGCATCGCTGACTCAATATGAGTTTGAGCAAGCTCTGGGAGTTGATGATGGGCAGGGAAGCCTGGCATGCTGCAGTCCATGGGGTCACAAAGAGCAGGACATGACTAAGTAACTAAACTGAACTTTGTTAAGAAGTTTTGTCATTATCCTAAGGGCAAGTTAAGGCCAGGGGGGTTTTAAGCTGAAAAGTGCCATCATTTTATTTTGAAAACACTACTGTGATTGGTGTGTAGTTAAGTGGACTAGAAAAGGATCACAGTGGGTATGGTTATACACGAGGGTACTGAGCAAGCCAGGAGAAAGGTGACGGTAGCCTGGCCTGGGATGACGGCAGTCAAGATTGCGAGAAAAAAACAACAGTTGTTTAGAAGGCACATGGGCTTTAACACCAGCTATTAATATATGGCGTATCATCTTTATTTCTAAACAGAGCAAATAATTATGTGTTTACATGATCTAGATGCAAATGTACATGTGTGGTTAACCTTGGTTGATGTTTCACTAGCACATTTCTTACAAAGGTGTGCCCATGTTGCAACTGAATTGTGCCAGAATATTCTGAAACTGATAGGTGTCAATACTGCTTAAGGAAAACTGAAGATTGCCACAAAACTGCCAAAAAAGAGAGCAGGGGGAGAACATGGCTAGGGAACCAATGATGAAAAAACACCCAAAGGGCATTCCAAGGGAGGCAAAATGAAAACCAAGTGTACAGAAGACAGGCAGGAGGCTGCCATCTTGGTGGGAAAAGTTGAAAAATGACTCCAGATACACCAAAGCTAAGACAGAGCTTTCCAAGTTCTGCAGAGATTTATGGAAAACAAACCTTCGAGTCCCTTGTGTGAAGACTGCAGAATCCTTAAGTGCGGAACTCTGCTGGGGGTGTTAGTATTTTGAAGGAAGATGTCCATACTTACACTCAGGTGGACACAGGACAAGAAAGCACAACTGCAGGGGTGTGCTGCCATGTGCCTGATCCCAGGTGGAGGGGGGAGACAGCAGAGCCCTGGTTATGTACCCAGGTAGGTGCAGGGCCCCACCAGAATGGACCAAGTTTGTATGCCCAGGTTAAGACGGAATGCAAACACTGAGGTCATCCATCTCCCAAAGCGTCATGAGAAAACAAAGTGAGGATGCTGTCAAAGGCTGTTACTCTGCCCAAGGCAGGGCTGAAACACCTGTAGTTGGAAGGTCAGTCCCACATGGGGCACCTGGGAAGGACAGTACAGGCCACCACAGGATTTTCTGCAGTTATGCAGACAACTTCCTGGCAACTAAACCCCAGCGACTTCTGAGAATGACCTAGTTGCTGCTACCCAACAACTTTTGTGAAGAGTGCCTATAAAACTTTGAGGAAAGGTCAGGTTTGGCTGGATCAGGAAACTAACAAAAAGTAAAACACAGGTTCCAAGCAGGGAGAGAAATTTTGTGGGTGAGGCTGGGCTGGCAGCTGGCTCTAGCCTGCTATTCAGCAGACTACTTGGTCCACTACAAGCTCTCTGGTTAGGCTGATTTCTCCCAGAAAGACCAACAGGGTGTTTGAAGTATGACCTTGTTAACTCTGCTTGAAGGAGCAAGTATCCTTCAAGGCAGGGACAAAACAGGCCAAAAAAACCCCTAAACCCAAAAAATGTCCATACATCAAAGTCCAATATAAGACTTCTAAGTCTGGATGGAAACTAGTAAAGCTGTTAACCAGGGACCAAGCTGGAAATCAACAGGTTCACTTTCCTCCTACCCTCAACAAGTCTCATAGTCACACCATCAATTCATTATTGGGGCTTGTCTGGGTCAATCTGTGTCAACTCCCTCCACATTAGTAAGTCCTTTTGGGAGAGACTTTTCTTTGGACATTCCTGCAATGGTACAGCCAGGTGCTTCTCATGAATCACACACATAGCCTCAAGGCACAGGGTCAAAGAATGCAGTCACTGTTCTATCCTAACAAAGAATAATTTTTACAAATTATTCAGCTCTTAACCTAGCATTTTTCAACAATGCGCTTTTCCAATGATTAGGTCTATGAACCACTCCAGTACACGGTGGACAGATGGAAAGAAAAATGGTGGATTTTTTCCAAAAGAGTGGATTACACAATAGAGTAGGCTTGCGGTTGCAGATGTCCTTATGCCAGGGAAATATTCAATTTAAGGTCAAGGGATGTTCTAGGTAATGTTCAGTGTTCTAGGGAAGTCTTCAATGTTAGTGCCTGGGGCTCAGTAACTAAATATTTTCAACTCCAGACATGGAACATCTTGGAAACAGTTGCATTTGTTCATGTAAATTTGAGTTAGTAATAAGTTATCTATTACTTGTTTAAACACTGCTCAATATTCTCTGATACTACCCAAGAAGGCAGTCACATGCTACATGTGACTACTCAAGTTAAAATGAAAATCCAACTCCTCACATTTTGGGGGGATGAGGCTGCACAGCTTGTGGGACCTTAGTTCTCAAACTAGGGATCGAACCCAGGTCCGTGGCAGTAAAAGCCCAGAATCCTAACCACTGGACTGCCAGGGAATCCCCCACATTACTCACATTTCAAAGGCTCACTCACAAGGCTACCATATTGGTCAATGCATGATGAAACATTTCCATCATCTCAGAAAATTCCAGTGGACTGTGCTTTTTTTTTTTGGCAGCAGCTTCTTAGTCCCTGTATGTCTTAGGTTACAACTCCTTCCCATTAACTTGTTTTGTCTTTTTGGCATATTCCTCATTACATTATCCCTTCTCTCTTCCTAACCTGCCTTGTAGTTTTAATTCAAGTGGTGGGGGAAAGAGTCCCACTCTAGCTCACAATAGGACTTTTAATTCTTTAACACTCTCTAAATAGGTCCCGCTTTTCATAACTGGGGTTCTACAATTTTTTTTAATAAACTTGAAAGTTACTGACACAACCAGCTACTGTTTTGAGGCTTTCTCCTTGATTAATTTGATTAATAAAAAATTAGAATAACTTGGACACTTCGAAACCCCTAATTTAATCTCTTCTCTAAGCATCTAGAATTCTGCCATTCCAGTCAGGTAGCCATCTATACCTAGCCTTTTCTCTACAGTTTAACTAACCCGATTTTTACTTTATCCTTAATGTTTCTCCAAACACTAAATATCCTCCAACATAATGTCCCTTATTATTCAAACATCACAGTAGAAATACCTGTTTTCTGAGTTACAGCACTGATAAAGCAAGTGAGACTCTTTAAAGTTACTTAGTATCCCCATTCTGCATTATTATATATAAGATTTACTCATCACCCTCATTTCTATGTCACACATGCTTACTCCTGTTAACTAGTTTCTACAAGTAATCAGGGTACTACTTTTTCTTTGACCCCTCTGAATTCAACTGAAATGCATTTTCTTGGTCAAGGTGATCTTAACTAGGGTCCCAAAATTCAAACCCCACTTTATACTGGTGCAGCTGAATTTTCCTCCTATTAAATAAAAAGGTCAACTGTACAGAACTTTTTAATGTGGCTAAGTCCTTCATTCTCCCAGGTTATAGTCAGTAATGATGCGTCTTGGTTCTCTCCTGAAAATAAAATTAGTTCATCAGTGATCAGTCCATGGGGTCGCCAAGAAGTGGACACAACTTATCGATTAAACAATGGTCAGTCAGTGTGGTCACAGGCCAGCTATGTGTTCTCAGAAAAAGTACATTTAAAAAATTGATTTCTAAATCAAAGTACCCTAAAGCTTCAAGGGTATTAGATTTCATGGTATACTGGAAAAACCCATTATTCTAAATTTTATATCCAAGCAAATGCAACACTGTATTTTACTTTGTATTGAGCTTTCCATAGGTTTTCAATATTTAGTTTCATATGGAATGAAAAACAGACACTTCCATGCCTGGGCTAAGTGGTTCAGTATTTTAAAATACTGATGGCTAGCAATCTCAAAACAGCTTTTATTAGCATCTTAGAACTTTGACCTAGAAATCTGACCCTTCTTTTAAGGATCTAGTTTATTTTCTTGTCATCAGTTATGTGCTAAATTCTGAGTTTGTGTAACATATGAGAACATATAAAACAAGGTAGTTAGAAGTATTTTTGACCAAGGTATCTAACAAAACCTACTTGTATACAGTGATATGAGATACAAGGGCAGACCACAGTTCAGCCTTTCCCTTCTATTCTACTTTGTCACCTGTTATATAAAATGATTTATGGAACCTTTATAAATAGGACATGACTTCTGTCCCTACCAAGTTGTATATAAATGCCTTTGAAACAGTAGCAACTTTCTGGGGAATCCAAGGTTTGCATAAGTTTTAACAGCCCAAACTAACCATGTTTTTGTCCTGTCTTGCCAGAAAAACTGAAGCATGAAACATAAATAAAAAGGGCCTTTCAGGACAAGGCAAGCATCACAAACCTGAAAGTGGTTTAATAAGTCCAAGTCTGGGTGCTCATTAGTACCATGCCTATAATTAGCTTGAATGGACTGAATTAACTGAAAGTAAAATAAATGTGTGACTCTGTCCTCGCAGTTTTGAGGAAGGAACAGACTACAGAAGACCAGGAAAAGAGAGCTCTACAATTTTCAGTAAACACCTACTTGGGCAGTGTCAGTGTCTGTGACTGACAGGCACAGACTCGGAATCCATTCGGTTAACTGGGACTATAAACAGCAATTAAAAAACAAAATGGAAGAAAAGCAAGTTTCGTTCTCCAGCTGTTTCACTCTTGACATATTTGAACCTCTTCTACTTAAGGATGAAACAATTCAGCACACAACAAAAATCTCAAAAAAGGTGCCAACTGGATCACAAAACATTGACGAAAAGGCTTAAGGAAGTTCCCAAACTTTTTCATTAGGCTTTAAAAGCCATTTTTGCAAACAAATCTCCACTTCAATCCGAGTACTTGTCTCTGTGATTCAACACCCACCCCAATGAAACCTAAGTTGAAGTGTATGTTGGTATGCATAATAATTATGACTCAAAGATAAATATATCGAGTACATTCTAGGGGTTTTGTGAAGGCTGCTGTGAAACAAAGAATTTGAAGTAAACAATTATAAAATACAAAAATAAAAAAATCAGGGTATTTATTTTTTCTCCAAATTCCTGGTTTAATAAGGTCTTGTTTATTTTGAGAAAAAAAGGTCCCAAACATCAGGCTGTTCACAAAAATAACCCACAGTATCAACTTTAGAAAACAAATCTTAAGACTATTACACTAGTTATTTTTCTAGAGGATGCATTTAACATGCCAACTCTCATTCACAAAAATACATTGTTACATTTGTGTTGAACAGCCCCACATAGCACTCTTATGTGGGGTATAACACACATACCTCTAACTCAAAGCTGCTCTCAGGTTCTACTCAACTAATGAGACTGCCTTTGTAGTTAGGGAAGCAACTATTGTATGAATGGAAAGAACTGTACTCCCTGTATAACAAGAGATTATTTTGGAGACAGTTGATAAAAACCATACATCCTTTTTATTGTTAAGTCATAAAGAGGTATCAAAATTAAAAGCAAAAATTACAGGGTAAGACTTAACGTAACTACTAGGAGGGTCAAAGGAAGTGAAAATGGGACTAGGCGCAGGGCAATATGAATTAATGAACATGGGAAGGACAAGGATGGGGAGAACAGTGAACATGTGCTGAAGATACTAGGGGAGAGGATCTGGTGAAAATTTTGATCTTAGACAAGCGCCTAGGTAAAGAAATAATGGGACAAGATTTCTAAACCCCGCTATGTGCTTAAGAGTCATCCTCGCCATTGGCGCTGTCTCTGTCATCCTCTCCTTCCTCAGCCTCTTTTTCATCATCCTTGATCAACTCCAGCTGTGAGAAACAGACACAAACAGGATGGAGTTAGAGGCACTCCATGTGTCCCTGACCCCCCCTCCACCACCTCTTTCTTTCCTTTCCCGTGGTTTTCACCTGGTCATCCCCCCGATCTTCATTATCATCATCATCCAGTAGGTCCCCCTCCTCAGCAGAGTCATCTGCACCCCCCTCAGACTCCATCTTCACATTAGTCTCATCTTTCTTCAGGGAGCTGCTGCTCTGCTCCTCTTCTGACTTATCATTCTTCATCTCTACTGGGGATGAGAAGGACAAGTCTGTCTAGGGGCAAGTAATGTCCACAGGATGTAGACAATCCCCACTAACAGATCATAGAACTGCAGCACAAATCTAAATCCTCCCACAAAATGCCCTTCCCAATTCAAATGCCACAAGTTTCATATTCAGTTGCTTTATACCCCACTATTTCAACATATACTTGCAACTAGCTTAGGTAACTAGCTCTACTTCACACCCAACAAGCGACAGGGCTGCTTACCTCCTTGTTTGCTCTGCTCCTTTTCAATTTTTTCCAGGCTTTCCAGTAAAGAATCCACTTTTTGTTTTATCTGGGTTAACTCCTTCTTAATGGTCTGAAGGTCATCTCCTTTCACTTTTAAAACAAACAAAAACCTAGATTAAAATCAAATGTACCAGAAGCTACCAGATAACCAAACACATTCCCCTTCTAGACTATACAACAGTAGTCAGCATGAGATCCTTGGAGAGAAAATGGAGCCTATCTATACCAGACTGTCCTAGTAATGGGGTGGGGCGGGCGGGGTGTCACTAATCTTTTTGATTATTAGCGAAAACTGAATCTAATGAATCTATTCCCTTAGCAGCAGCATTATTACTTTTCTAAGCCTGCTTAAAAAAAAAAACAACCCTCAATTCTATTTTAAAGCATTTTCTAGTTTTAGCAACACTATTTTTATACACTGAATAGGTGTTGCAACTCCTTAAAATCTAATGACTTTTTCAAATTACCAAGGCCTTAAGGACAGAAGGCTGCCTAGAGCTGGCCCCTTAATCACCATTTTCTCATCTTCCATTATTCGATTACACGAAGTTATTTGTACAAACATTATAAAAATTTTTAATATTATTAACTGCGCTGATCTCTGAATTTCAACATATAAGAAATATCAGAACCAGAAAGCTGCAGTAATAATACTTACACTTTCCAGACTTAGAAGAAGATCCCCGCTGTCCACTTTTAGAATTGAAGCCACTTTTGCCCCTTCGTGAGGTGTTTCCTGATACACGCTGGCGTTTTGAGGGCACTACAGCCCGAGCAATAGGAGGAGGAGGAGGAACACGTGCTGGGTAACTGTACATCCTATTGGATAAAAGGAAAACAGAATTTCTTCACAACTAAGTCAGGAAGATTCCAACAACTGCTTCCTTATAAAATGATATGTTACTGTCAATCGTCTAGCAATCACTTTTTTGCTAGGTTAATTTCATTCAAAAGGCCAGTTTATTCTTTTTAATACTGAAACTGCACACATACACATACAATGGTTGCCTTAAGCTCTGGACATAAAGGTTCCTGTGTACAATGGCATTACTGATAGAACCTTACTTTTTACAGTGAATAGCCTTTGCCTTGATCTTATTCCTTTCATATATGTACTACAATATTATAAGCAAATAAAGTACTCACAAATGACTGCAATGAACCAACTTTGCAAACAGAGCTATTATTAGCTAAATCCCTGGCATTTTCACCCACAGAAGCATACAAATAATTATCACTAGTTTGTAGTATTAGGTTGAACCATATAAAACTTCCATGATTGAAAACTGAATCTAATGAATCTATTCCCTTAGCAGCAGCATTATTACTTTTCTAAGCCTGCTTAAAAAAAAAAACAACCCTCAATTCTATTTTAAAGCATTTTCTAGTTTTAGCAACACTATTTTTATACACTGAATAGGTGTTGCAACTCCTTAAAATCTAATGACTTTTTCAAATTACCAAGGCCTTAAGGACAGAAGGCTGCCTAGAGCTGGCCCCTTAATCACCATTTTCTCATCTTCCATTATTCGATTACACGAAGTTATTTGTACAAACATTATAAAAATTTTTAATATTATTAACTGCGCTGATCTCTGAATTTCAACATATAAGAAATATCAGAACCAGAAAGCTGCAGTAATAATACTTACACTTTCCAGACTTAGAAGAAGATCCCCGCTGTCCACTTTTAGAATTGAAGCCACTTTTGCCCCTTCGTGAGGTGTTTCCTGATACACGCTGGCGTTTTGAGGGCACTACAGCCCGAGCAATAGGAGGAGGAGGAGGAACACGTGCTGGGTAACTGTACATCCTATTGGATAAAAGGAAAACAGAATTTCTTCACAACTAAGTCAGGAAGATTCCAACAACTGCTTCCTTATAAAATGATATGTTACTGTCAATCGTCTAGCAATCACTTTTTTGCTAGGTTAATTTCATTCAAAAGGCCGGTTTATTCTTTTTAATACTGAAACTGCACACATACACATACAATGGTTGCCTTAAGCTCTGGACATAAAGGTTCCTGTGTACAATGGCATTACTGATAGAACCTTACTTTTTACAGTGAATAGCCTTTGCCTTGATCTTATTCCTTTCATATATGTACTACAATATTATAAGCAAATAAAGTACTCACAAATGACTGCAATGAACCAACTTTGCAAACAGAGCTATTATTAGCTAAATCCCTGGCATTTTCACCCACAGAAGCATACAAATAATTATCACTAGTTTGTAGTATTAGGTTGAACCATATAAAACTTCCATGATAACTGCTTTTGGCCTATATAAACAGGCACTTCATATGTGTTAGCTGGGTGTACATACCACTATCAATTCTAACAACATTTAGCATAAGCTCCACTCAAAGCTCCAACAGAGGATATTGTCTATCTTATCTTGTTCACTATTCACTAGTGCCTAAATTCATTGCCCAGCACACACTTAGCTCTCCAAACTTACAGATTTTTCAATTGCTGCTTCCACTGAATAAGTAAGTATTCCCGTGACTGCTAAAGATATACCAAAGTGATGGCATGGTACGGGTGCTTACATTTGTAAAGAGAAAAAAATACAACAAAAACCTTCCCACAAGGACAGTAGTTCCAGAAAGTCTTTTTCATGTTGTTCTTTTTACAAAAGCCTGTAGGGCGTAAGTTAAGACGTACCAGTAGGAAAAAAACTAGTAATTCTAGCTCTGAACCATTTTAGCTATTGACTCCAAGGCCAAGAACAATCCACCAACTGTTCCCCTGCCTAACTTCAAAGCGTTGAAATTTTAAAACCCATATATAATGTGATGCATCTCCCTCTTATACACCTCATCAGTGCCTAGTTTTCTCTAAATTTGTAACAGTCTCCAATCCTGGCAGTGAGAACATTGATTCTGCAGTCTCACAAACAATTCTTCCTTCTGCTCAACCTTAACAATATAAAAAATGTTTCTATTCTGTTTTAACAAGGCAAGTACGTATGACAGGAACATTTTCCTAATTTAAGAGTATGTGTGTACTGCCAAGTAAGTGAGGGAATAACTTACTATTAATCCTAAAGATTTTAGTACTGACCACCCTATACCCTTCCTCTTGAAATACAGTAGTTACTGATTTCCCGTGTGCCAAACAATCAACCCTTGCTAAGTTTTTAAAACAGTCATGCCTTGTTTTAAGTCCAATAAGGAAGTCTGAATCCTAGCAAATAGGAAAGTTTAAAATTCTGATTCAGAAATAGGCTCATGCTTCTGCAGAGGTTTCTTCTCAGTAGAAGAGTACTAACTGAGCTGTGTGTCAGTTTTAATCCATTTATGGGAATTACCAAAAGAGCTACTTAGTAACTTTTTATTGTAACCACTTTCTTCCATTTTTACATAAAGCTGTTTGTCTTTTGGTCCCAAATTTTCCAAAGCATAATGATCCAGAAACTATAAAATACCAGTCTTTGGAAGCTACTTTCCTTTGTGATACTCTGTACAATTTCTGGGAGTAAAAAAGTGAGTTACCACACCTTTAGGCATGAAACAGCTCATGCCTGAGCCCTGTTAGATTTAGAGATCTAACCTACCTTCCAACCCATTCACTCACTGGCATCAGTCTCCAAACCAATGAACTAGCCATTCCAGATTCCCTACGCTCTAAGGCACTATAATTTCTTTTTTGAACCATACTACTTCATCTTACCAGGGTATATATATCACTGTAACAAAAATGAAGAAACACAGTGTATATTTTTGATTTATGTAATAGCATCATGAACACAAAGGAAGTCAAACACTTTAGTTCTCTGAAGAAAAATGTACTTTAAAAGATCAACTGGTTATGCTGAAGGGCTTTTAGGGTCACAGAACTTAACTGCTGCTTAAGCAAAAATGGGCTCTCAAAAAACTCACAAAGATTCCTCCAAGGAAGTTTAAGTAGACCATGCCTTATAAGATGCCAAAGCTCATCAATGTGAAAACATGAGAAAGAGAAAAGAGGAAGAGAAAAACCACACCTACTGAAATAATCTTTATGGTTAGAGACTAGATAATAGGAAGCTTCCTTTAATAGCTTCAAGAACCAGGTACAAACAAAGTAACCACTTCCCCCACAAGAAACTTATACAGTAAATCACAGGAGGTAATCAAAGAGCTGAATTTTCCAATTATAAAGCCCAAGCCATTAAAAAGTCTTCATGAAAGTTACATTGTTACTAGAGAACAAGCACTGAACACTTAAAGAGAATTGTGACTCCACTGAGTTCAGAACCTGGACACTAAGTGTTGGTATAAAATCTAGTCAAAATAAAAAGACAACTAAAATATCATTTTAAATAAAGCAAAACACTTCTGGACACACATTAGCTAATAATCTAACAGAGAAGACAAAAAAAAAAAAAACCCTCTACCCTAATCTCCAAGCTAAAACATGAGCATTACAATGCCTTTATTAATGTACAGGCATTCAAAGGCAAGCTTCTTCAATGACTAAATGTAACACAGCGACCTCTGGCCTCAGAAAACCTGATTAGTAATACATCTTAACTACTATCAAAGCAGAAACAACTAGAATAAAGTATTGGCAAAAACCTATATTCTCCAGAAGGTTTACTTAATGAACCATAACTGTTTCTGGTTCTAAAAATTGGATAGATTTAGGCAATCTATTAAGATTACCACCCCCCTTACAATACTGACATCAAATTCAGTTTAAACACACAATCTCATTATAATTTCATTCAAGGGTTAGGAAATATTTTTCTCCCACTATATTATTTTTCATTTGCAACAGAAAAATCTCAAGATGAAGTTTCTTCCTGATTACCTTTGATTTTCCTACAAAAGGGTCAGATTTTATAGGCTACTATATTTGGGGGCTTTAGGATGTCAGACACTCCCTCAAACTGTCTGCTAAAATTCTGTGAATGCTTCAATTTACAACAATCTGCAACTTATACAACTTCAATTTTAAGTTTCCCAATATATCAACACAACCTTTACGTAACATTATGCTGTACAGATTTTCTACAAAGAAAAGGAGTTTTACAACATTTATCTACCCGGCCTTGTGTGGATGAAGCAGTACACTGGATGAGCAGAGTTATCAACTACTGATCCTCATGAATACCAGAATTAAAGAAACTGTTCAAGAATCAAAGTCTTCCAGACTTCCCTGGTGGTTAAGAATCTGCCTTCCAATGCAGCGGATGTGGACTCAACCCCTGGTCAGGGAACTAAAAGCCCACATGCTGCAACTACAGAGCCCACATGCCACAAGAAAAGATTCCATGCACTGCAACTAAGACCTAACAGTTAAAAATAAATAAGTAAAAATTATTAAAAAATCAAGGCCTTCAGTAATTGGCATCTTTGAAATTATACTCTTTAGAAACTTATTACTGAAGACTATGGTATACAATTCTTTTAAACACATAATTTAAGAACCAAAAAATTCTAAAGTTTACCACAATAAAATTTTAATAGTACGTATTTTCTTAAAATCTTAGTTTTATTTTATGAATGAGTAGACTGTTGCCTTTAATTACCTAGAGGAAAAGTGCTAAAAATGACTATGAAGCATTAGTCACTCAGTCATGTCCGACTCTTTGCAACCTCATAGACTATGTATCGGAGAAGGCAATGGCACCCCATTCCAGTACTCTTGCCTGGAAAATTCCATGGACGGAAGAGCCTGGTGGGCTACAGTCCATGGGGTCTCAAACAGTCGGACACGACTGAGNATGCACTGGAGAAGGAAATGGCAACCTACTCCAGTATTCTTGCCTGGAGAATCCCAGGGACGGGGAAGCCTGGTGGGCTGCCGTTTATGGGGTTGCACAGAGTCAAACACGACTGAAGTGACTTAGCAGTAGCAGTAGCACACTATATGTAGTCTGCCAGGATTCTCTGTCCATGGAATTCTCCAGGCAAGAATACTGGAGTAAGTTGCCATTTCCTACTCCAGGAATCAAACCAGGGATCAAACCCTCCCACATTCTTTACTGTCTGAGTTACTGGGGAAGCCTTCCCCTCATGACTGTAACATGTTTTAATTCCGGTTTCAATTAAAATAAAGCTATGATGTATCAATATTCACCTTCAAACTCCCCATTTTCATGACGTGAAATTTACTGTTGACCTTTAAAATAAATCCACTAGTGAAATCCTTATAATTTGTGTTCTATTTCTAAATTAAGAAACAATTTCTAATTGTTATTTGTAGGCACCCCTCCACAACTGTTCCCTTGACTAGTCTGGGAGAAACCAAACTGGATATGACTATAAACAGTTGTTCTGATAACATAATTTACAGGAAGAGTGCTAATTACTTCTGTAAATTTACACAGTTGCACTTTATGGTCCTTAACTTTCTTTAAACTGCTCTTTGGGTCCACTAAGGCTACAGACCATCTGTATGACAGTTAGAATCAAAAACAGCAAGTACTGCTCAGCTAAATGATTAGGGGACTTAATGATAAACAGGTCTGCTGTGCAGGATTTATTCAATATATAAGGGCACCCAAAACATCAAATTTTAACTAAGTTCTTTTCAGCTAAAGGAAAACAAAATAAACAGGAAAAAAAAAAAACCCACAGAAAAACAAAGTTTTATCATTACCTCTGTAAGGTTTAAGAACCTTGCACAAAGAACAGTGATCAAAGTTGGGGAACACCACACGCACTGATACAAAAAGCAGGAATCAATAACCTCTATATTTGTAGAATCAATGAAAGCATTAATAATTGGCTCTGTAATCTTCGTTTGAAAAGTACTGGTGATATTAGTATTTAGAGGTACTCTTGCTAATGATACGTTTGATTAAAATATGAAAAGT